ATTTTTCCATGAAGAAGAATACGATATATATTGTTTTATTATAAGAGACCTCACACTTCCTGTCTGCTCCTTCTGTGCTGCAGCCGGGCCAACAGTGAGCTGCTAGGCAACGCCTGCCTCTAAGGTCCAGAGTCCAGAGTTACAGTAGATTGGGGGGCGGTGGGAGGGGGGGGGCGCTTATTTGGGGGGGAATACCTTATATTTCAGCGAGAGGCAAAACTGTAAGTAGGTCTTATTTTCGTGGGATGTCTTACTTTCGGGGAAACAGGATAGCTGTTCTTAACTACCACTGGTACTGTTTTTTCTCTTTTTCCTGCCACTAGTATTTTATAAAGTATATATACAAGGGGTTACCCCTCAAAAAAACCGGAATTGCACTGAGTGGTGTGGAGCATTTGTAGTATGCATTTTTTTCTTCTAGGCGAGTATTGAGCAACTCTCTCTGAGATAGTGCACCTCAGTGACATCCCCTGGGAAAGTTCTCGCTGGTCACAGTGAATTTTTTCATAAAAGTAGTTTCACCCAAACCTCGTTTTTTGGTGATGGCCGATTTAAGAGACATCATGGGGCTGCTCAGGAAAAATGCCACAGAAACTGTTGTGATGTTGAACACAGCTTCTTACAAAGACACCGCTCTGGGAAAAACTGAAGTGAAAGAGTGGTTTTCTCTTTTCAAAAAAGGTGAAATGTTGATTGATGACAAACCTCATTCTGGATGTCTGACAACTTCCCAAAGGGACCAACCTGTCGACTTGTAGTGCATTTGGAGTTCGTTCCACCGGGTCAGACTGGTAGTCAAGCTTTCCATTTAGAGATTCTGGTAAGATTTTGTAACTTTGTGAGGCAAAAAAAAAAGGCCCGCATTGCTGCAGACAGGGACTGGTTTTGCCACCACAACAATGCACCTGCTCACACAATCATCCAGTTTTGGGCAAAAAACCAGCATGCCTCTCTTGGTCCACATATCATACTCACCTGACCTTGCTACTTGTGACTTCTTTTTGTTTCCATGAATGAAGAGGGACGTGAAAAGATAACGATTTAAAGGAGTAGGAGAGGTAAAGAAAAAAACGAGGGAGGTGCTGTCAGCCATCCAAACAGATGAGTTTCAAAAATGTTTCCAAGAATGGAATTGCAGATTTGACAAATGTATTAAGTGTAAGGAAGAGTACATTGAAGGTGATAAGGTTGTTTTGTTTTTTTTTTTTTAATTAAATACAGAACTCTGGGGGGAAAAGTTCTGGTTTTGTGTGTGGGGGTGGTATTTGTGCATTTTCTAGTTTGGTCATTGCAACCACTCACAGAGGGGCAAGGGGCCTTTTTCTTTAATAAATGATGTTAAGTAACTTTCCGAAATCACTTTTCAGATCACTCATATTTATGTAGGGGGGAAATCACCTATTTATTATCTCGACTAAAATAAAATACAAATAATTAGGGAAGGGACCCACTTACTAGGTTGTTTGGAATTGTTATCGTAGAAATAACCACAGAACTGCCATGGATCTAACTACTGCCATTAGAGGAACTTGATACATTTGATCTCAACAAGTCATCAAATGTGTTTTAAAAAACAAATGATGCTCAACTTTGCGGTGCCTTCTTTACCTGGGATATCCACCCAAAAGTTCTAGGATCATCTATATCTCGCCACTCCTCTCTCCTCTCTTCCTGTGTGGTCCTATCCTAAAGGATCTCTCAGTCTCCTACTGAAGAAGGTACCTAAACTACCATGTTCAATGGAGGTCCCAGAAATTACAGCCTGGAGGAAGGTGTACAGATGTAGTTCACTTGGAAAGGTGCATGGGGAGAGGGTCTGTAAATGTTTCAGAGAGGAAGAAAAAGTTTGTCCTCAGAGATGAGGTGAGGTGTTAGCCAGGTATCCACTTCTGGACCATCCTCACAATCATCTCTATATTTGAGGTCATTGTTGCAACCACTGTGGCATCCCATCTTGCTTAGAGTCTTTTTCTTTTTTGCTGTCCTCTATTTCACCAAGCATGATGTCCCTCTTTATAAACTGGTCCCTCCTGATAATGTGTGCAATGTATGAGAGGTGAAGTCTCTCCATTCTTTGCTTGTAAGGAGCATTCTAGCTGTTCTAATACATAATTGTTTGTTCTTCTGGCATTCCATGGCATATATAATATCTTTTGCAAACACCATCATTGGAAGGCATCAATTATTCTTCAGTCTTCTTTACTCATTGTCCAGCTGCCCCATGGTATGGGCCAGGTGCACCTTAGTGTTCAAAATAATTAAAAAAAAAAACTTTGACGAGAGCTTTGTGGCAGATGTGCCCAATGCCCATTGTTTGTTTTCCTTGCTGCTGCTTCCATGGTCTCTGCTTGTGTATCCAAGTAAAATGAATTCCTTGACAACCTCAACTTTTTCTCTCTTTATGCTGATGTTGGCTATTGATCCAGTTGTGAGGAATTTTTATTTTTTTATGTTGAGGTTATTTTAAGCTTGGTTCCCTAGAGAAGCAAAATCAGTGACACTTATATGTATATGTATGTAGAAAGATACTGATGTCATGACATGGCTTACATAGTTGTAGAAGTGGGTCGGTACGGTCCAATTCAAGTCCATGGCTCAGCTGGATGCCTCCCTGATCCAGATAGCTGCAGGAGCAGAAGAACCATGAAGCAGGAAGGTGAAGCAAGAAGACCGCAAGCTGGTAGATATAGAGCCAAATTAAC